ACTTGCAACTGTTGCCAGGTAGAATCCACCCCCTCTGCTAGGCCTCTCAGCAGACAGGCTAGATCACTGTTACTTCACGCAGCTTTGCCTCAGCCCTTTCCCGCCAAACGGGTTGCCTCAGAGCTCCCTAATCTAGTCCCCCAATCTGAGTTTGCACGTTCTTCCACTAGCCTACCTCCCCGTGAGGTAAGCCTAGAAGATTACCTACGCGCCCTCAGATTTTCCCTGACTAGACCCCCCTTGCTCTGGGCACACTTGCCAAGGCTTTGCTGGACCACTGGACAACTGGACCAGTCGTATCCCACACGCTGGACATCAATCAATGTGGCAACCCCAGACCTACTGGAGTATCCCACCCTGTAGTTATGCTGCCACCAACCATTCCCTGTAAGGAGTCACACAGACCAGGAATGGATTTTAATAAACAAAAGAACAAGGTTTATTGAAACAACAAACAGGGTAAATAAAAGGACCAGGTAAATAGGATACAGGAACGTGGCATAGTCCCAATCATACACATACAACAGCTTGGTTCCCACGGAACACCTTAAGGTAACGCACAGACCCTGAACCTATCAGTTCTGGCTACCTAAATAGAAACCTGAACCTATCAGGTACGTACTAACTGACAAACAGTTGTACCCAGTCTGACACACAGACTCCAACTCCTAACTCTTCCACACCAGCTCCAAATATATATACAGTACAGCTCCTCCCCCCTGATGTCCCGCCTTCCACTCCCCATAGGATGGAACTTTCCCTCCAAACCCATGACAGACAGGTACCATCAGTGCTGTGTGACACTAGCCTTCTTACAAGGTTGCAATATTTGTGAATATTACTAAACAAGTGTTGCTGTTGATATTATTACTATGAACCCTGTGTTCCCAACTTGGAAACTCCCATTACACTTCACTACCGGTCATACTGCCCAGAAATGCTGAGAGCAGCAGTCAAAATAGTTGGAAGGCACCAGGTTAAGTAAGGTTGGCGCAGCTTAACTCATTCTTTGACACAACTCCGGGAGGCAGTGCAAGATATGAGGGCCTGGTGTGCTCTGGTCCGTGGGGTCACGAAGAGTCGGACACGACTAAACGAAAACGAAACTCATTCTTTTCATCGAAATGGTTAAGATGTGTATTCAATAAATATTTCTTATACTGATCATTAATAATATATAAATTTTTGCAATTCTTTTCAAATTCTGCAGTGAAAATTAAATGGAAATGATTTACCTTGCTGAGTATCCTGTACTTGTATCCGATTCACAGTGAGGTCTAGAGGGCTATCCTGTTCTTCCTGAAGTGAATTTTCTGTTTGGTTCATTTGAATACTTTTGTGTATCAGACTCATTTCATATGACGAACCATTTCTGTTTTCTTGCATTTTACTACTCTTCGAAATATATTCAATAGCAAACTGACGGATCATCTTTTTCATTAATTCCTGAGCAACTAAGGGAATGTTAGGATCACAGTTCTGAGGAAGATCTATGGAGAAAAAATACATAACACAACAAACATCAGTTCCATAGAAGTACAAATTACACTAATTTCTTTTGTAGAATGATTCAGGTAAGGATGAGATTTCAGAACTGATGAATTTTCAGTTCCACAATATGGTGGGAATTCCCCTTCCCAGCTGAATTATGACACTGAAAGCCCTCAAACCAGCAGGAGGTAGAGCAGTCCTCTCAACTCCGCACAGTTTCCATGCCACTTCTTCAGTTAAAAAAGTGTTCTGCTGAACTATGTGAGTCATGAGGATTCCCTGCAACTTGCAAAGCTGCATGTGGAAACAGGTTATGTTCCATACACTCTTTATGGAGAAAGCCTACAACAGAACTCACCCATGCATTTTTGTGAGTCACAGGGAAGACACATGCCATAATGCTCTGGAGCATTTTTCTTATACAGTAGTTTGAAGAAACTATAATATACAGTGCAGGATAGGCATGGAGGTAAAATGGGTGCTCTACGTCTTCCATTTAAAGGTTTCCCAGCTCCATAATTCAGCTAGGGGGCTATCCCATGGAAATGAGACTCAGAATTCATTAATTTTGAAAATCCCTCCCTAGATTAAAATTTAATGAAATAACACATTTCCTGGTCTTTGTTTTTAAAAACTCATTTATTTGAATGTTGTTTTTATTTATTTTCATAAGAACTTTAGGTCTCCTGTAACTGGCCCGAGTTAACACTCTGACTGTCACATTTTGAATCAGCTGAAGTTTCAAGAGAAAATTAGATAACCTGCCTACTTCAAAGGTAGTCCTGTGTAGAATCATTAGAATTAACCAAGTGAAATACAACTAAGGCTCATGTCACTGTAGCCAAATCAGTCATTTCCAGGAATAGGGACAACTGACACACTAGCTTTAACTGGGTAACTGAACTTCTGGCCACTACCAAAACCTGGATATCCAAGTTTAAGGATGAGTCCAAGAGTATACTTAAGCAGTGAATCAGAGTTGTCAGGGGAGTGTAACTCCATGCACCATAGGTTGGATCTCTGTTACCTGATCCTCATTTAGAATGATTCAGAACCCCTCTGCTTTGTCTCAATTAAGCTTCAATTTGTTTGGTATTAGTCATCCAGTCCATTACTAACACTGCACATCGGTCACTAACTGAAAGTGCTTCCTTAGAATTTAATGGAAAGAAGAAATAGAGTTGCATATCATCAGTATACTGGTGGCACCAAACTCCAAAGCTCCTGTTTCGTGCATATGCTAAATGGCACGGGGGACAGAACAGAACTCTTAGGGGATCACAAAGATCAGTGGGCAAAGTGTCAAACAGGGGCTCCCCATCTGAGAGTGCTCCTTCAGAAATGAATGTAGCCACTATAAAACTGTGCATCCAAGTCCCATTCCAGAGCGATGGTCCAGAAGGATACCATGGTCAATGGTACTAAAATTGAAAGGATCCAACAGACAATCCAGATCTAGATAATCTGCTTCAACAGGAACTCTAGGAGCTAGGAAGCCACCACATGCTTCAAAACCTTGCTCAAAAAAGGAATAGTGGACACTGGACAATAATTGTCGATTACAGTGGAATTCATTTTCAGCAGAATTCTTACTACTGCTTCCGTTAGATATTTATTTATTTATTTTATTTAACTTATATGCCGCCCACTCTACCCAAAGGTCTCTGGACATGCCAGAACCATACCTTTCTGCAACATCTGTCACTCCCTTTATCCACTTGGCCAGTCTTCTCCAGCTTTTATCAGTCAGGAAGGCAAGGATCAAGCACACAAAAGGTGGCTTTCATTTATTCAAGGATCCTGTCATATCCTCCAGCTGCACAGAGTGAAACTTATCCATTCTCACAGAACAAGAATGGGCCAAAATTATGTTCACATGTCAGCTACAGCATTCAAATCAGAGTGGAGCAGCTTTGTCTGCAAAGTATCATACAAATTCTTCACAGCAGGATGTTGAGTGATCACCACTCTGTTTTTCTGGAAAAGCATAATAAGTCATTGAGCACTTGAATTAACTCCACTAGATGGCTCTAAGTAGACTCAAGAGCAGGAGAGAATAACAATTTATGTGTTGACACCACAGCTACAAACGAGTTTCATCTTGGTTTTTAACAGATTCACTCCAACCACTGACTCTGCTCAGAGCTATCATTACTGTAGTTTCTGTTCCAGTCATTTCATCACGGCTGGTTCTCTGGTAAATCAAGGGGCTAGTCTGTCTCCATTCCACAGGATTGGTTGCTTAGGAATGATTGAAACCAACACTCTTGCCATTTCCCCTTTCCAGAGTTCAGTCAAGGAGACAGGAAACTCCCCAAGAGCCAGGGTGGACACTTGCCTCAATCACTCCGACAAAGGCTTTGAGTTCCAGTAACTCTAAACTCCATGACAATGGAACTAGAGGGAGTTTCTCTGCACCACATTTACCCCCATCCTACCCAGCAGAGAAAATCAGGTCATATAAAATATTGTCTTCATCCTAGGGAGAACTATGGCTGATAAAAAAACAACCATATGGAGCTCAGTTTCATAAACATAGTGGCTGATGAGCCACTATGGCTGAAACATATACCTTGATGCTGGAATGGGACAGTACAAGGTTGAACAGATGGAGGATGAAGGTAAGTATTGTCTTGAGCGAGACTGGGATTGGAGTAAAACTTTTGGATTCCGTAAATTTTAGGAAAGATTTCCATTTGTTCTCATACAGTTTCCTGGTAGACAGTTTTCGCGCCCTTTCTAAAATTCTGTGGAAATTGGGGTTATCCTCCATGCTGACAGATTCGACGAGTGCACGTCCAGGTGGAGAATGGAGCCGCTGTTCTGGGACAGAAGATTCGGTATTGACAGTAAGTGAAGCATTTCTGTTCTTATCGTCCTGAGGTGAGTAAACCATGGTTGGCGGGGCCACCACGGCGTGATCATTATAGCATCTGATCGATACTGAATGACCCCTATGATTGTCCTCTGTATCATTGGTATCGGTGGGAAGATGTAGGAGTTCTCCTGTCCTATCTATCATAAAGGCATATCCCATTGACTTGGCATCAATGCCTGCTCTCAAGCAGTATTTGGGGCACTTGGTGTTGTATCGAGTCACAAAGAGGTCTAGCGTTGGGTAACCCCACTTGCGGCAGATCTCCTGAAAAATTGACTCGTCTAGTGTTCATTCATGCATCTGGGTGGGTAGTCTGCTCAGATGATCTGCCAAGTAGTTGTCTTCTGTTGAGATGTGCTAGCCTATGGGAAAATGTGGTGGAGATGGCACCATTCCCAAAGTTCCATTGTGAGGTGTAGGAGGGGGTGTGCCTCCGTTTGTTTACATAATGCATTGCTGTGGTGTTGTCTGTCACCAGCTGGACCACTTTTCCTTCGATATGAGGCAGAAAGGCTCGAAACACCTTTATTATGGCCAACATTTCCAATTGGTTTATACGAAGTTCCCTCTTTTTTTGTCCATAGACCGTGTATTCAGAGTTCCTGACAATGCGCTCCCCATACCAAAGGACTCGCATCTGTGGTCACCTGTATTGATAAGTGTAGTGGTTTGAAGGGCCTGCCCACTGTCAGGTTCTGGATGGATGTCCACCAGGTAAGTTGGTCTGCCAATTCCGGGGTCACCAATAGGCGTTTCGATTGATGGTCTATTAGCAGGTCGAACAGGGATAGAAACCACGCCTGGAGTGGTCTCATTTTGAGCCTTGCTCAACTGCAGTTGTAGCTGCCATGAGACCTAGCAGATTTTGTGCCTTGTGGGCTGATACAATTGTGTATGGATGAAATAGGTGAACAGTATTTTGTATCTTTATGATTCTTTGTAGCGGTAGGAATGCCCTTGCATTTACAGAGTTCAGGTCCACTCCGATGTAGGTGATCATCTGTGAAGGTTCTAATTGTGATTTGTCAAGGTTTATTTTGAAGCCCAATCTTTGTAAAGTATCCATGGTGATTCTTTTGGCATCGACGGCGTTGTGATAGGAGCGAGCTACTATAAGCCAGTTGTCAATGTAGGAGAAGACTTGTAATCCCTCTGAGTAGAAGATATGCCACAATGCATTTCGTGAACGTTCTGGGGGCCACTGATAGCTCGAACGGTAGGGCACAGAACTGGTAGGTCATGTTCTCGAATCAAAACCTGAGAAATTTTTGAAGAGTAGGGTGTATTGTTATGTGGAAGTAGGCATGCTTCAAATCGATGGCCATGAATCAGTTTCCCTGGGATAGAAGGGGAATAATGGTATCAAGGATTAGCATATGGAATTTTCTGGGCTGTATAAATTTGTTAAGGCATCTGAGGTCCAGGATGGGTCAAAGACCTCCATCCTTTCTAGGAACCATGAAATAACGGGAGTAAAACCCCTCAATTATCTTGGATGATGGGACTCTGACTATAGCACACTTTTGGAGGAGTTATGATATTTCCTCTCGTAGTGTTAATGAGAACAAGGTGCTCTCAGTGGAGTTTGATGGTGGGATTTTAAAGAATTTGATAAGGTAGCCCTTCTCAATGATAGACAAGACCCACTTGTCAGTTGTTATCTGCTGCCATTCTGGTAGGAATGTGGAAAGTCTTGTGGGGCTAGTAGAGTTGTAATAATTAAGATCAATGCTTACCCTTTCGCTGTTGCTTACGAAAGGGCTGTCTAACGTTCTGAGGTTATTGCTGTCTGAACTGTGGAGTAGCGACCTGAGCTAGTTGGTAAGGTCCTTCTTGAGGCTGCTACCAATGTGAGCGAAAGGGTTGGTATTGGTATTGCTGTTGTTGATAGTACGGCTTCCTGTAGGAAGGTTTTTCATATCTATAGGGTTGCTGAAGTATGTAAGACTTCACCGTTTTTCTCATCTTATGGATATTTTCCATCATGTCATCCGTTTTGGCGTTGAATAGACCCACGGCATTGAACAGGAGGTCCTCTATCCTGGCCTTGGTATTGTCAATGATGTTAGCTGACCTAAGCCAGGCATGTCTCCTGACGGCTATCGAGGTGGCCACTGTTTTCGATGCCATGTCTGCAGTGTGCCTCCAGCCACTCTTTGTTGTTTGACTGGAGTTGTAGCCTCTGTATATATGTTCAGCAGTTCCAGTTTTGTTGATTCGGATGCTGCTTGCAATGTAGGGAGTATTCTGTCCCATAAATGACTTTGATAGGCGCTCATAGCTGCCTGGTAATTGGAAATTCTTATCAGCAGTGCTGCCAGGGAGTAGAGTTTTCTCCCCAAAGAGTCAATTTTGCACCCCTCTCTTTTCATTGGGGTTGTTGATTATCTGTTGTACGATTTATATTGGGTGGACTTAATGACTATTGAGTTAGGGGTTGGATGTTTAAGCAGGAAAGCGGCATCTGTACCATGCGTTTTATAATGGTGTTCTACTCTGCACAGAGTCTGCAGTGTTGAGGGTGGCTTGTCCCACGATTCTTTGACAAGCTGAAGTAGTGCCAGTATGAGGCTTAAGCTAGGTAGAGGCATCTTATCTTGTTCCAAATCGTGGAACACTAGGTCTTTCTCTTGTTGAGATGGTAGTTGTGTATCAAGCTGCAGGGTCTTAACCATGAGCAGTATGAGTTGAGCATATGATGTGTAATCCTCCGAAGGTGATGGAGGATGATTATCCAGTGCATCTGAGTAAGGGGTGGGATGTTGGATTGTGGAGACATCCAATGAGGATGAACCGTCATTCTGGGAGGACGTGGAGGATATTGAGGGTGAACAGTCTGGTCCTTCCATATGGGTTCTCAATATGAAGTCATCATCTGGTTGCATAGACATAGAAAGAGGTTTGACATCGTGTCGAGGAGGTCCGGAATAGACAGTTGTTGTGTCTACTATGGGTTGACCCTTAGTCTGTTTGGATCATTTTGCTGGCACAGTGTTCCCTGATGCCGCCATTCTCTTTCATGACGGTCTGTCTTGGGAGAGAGGTAGGTCCTCTCAGCGTTGAGGATGACTTGGGGGAGTTCTCGTGGGAGAGTACCAGGTTGGTGGGGGGTATCTGGGTCCCCTGTAGTCATTGTAGTATCCATAGTCATGGTATCAATATGGATGGTACTGATCAAAGTAGTGGTGTCCATAATAAGGGTGACGTTTGGTATGGCAACAGTGTTCTCCATGTCGATGAGGGTGGTATGGAGAGGTATATTTATGCTTCTCCGTTTTCTTTCTCGGAGAGTGTTCAGGAGACTCCGATTCAAACTTGACACAGACATCAGGCTCAGAATGGCCTGAGCTCGGCGACATGCTGAGAATAGCATGCTGTGCCTGAGCTGACGAGATCGTACATTCTTCTCTACCTGAGAGTGTACGTATTTCTCTGGAGGACTCCTCCATAGGCAGAGGGGCTGGCGGAGGAACTATGATGGTCGATTTAGTAGTTTTGTTTTCTTTCTTAGCCTTATCCTTGTCTTTTTTCTTTTTTGCAGGGTCATCGCACCGTGACTGAGTCTTAGTAGAGATGGCGACCGATTTAGAAGATTTTTGTGATTCTATGGACTTGGTAGATATCAATGTTGTGCTAGTCACAGATTGGGTAGCCGGGCTGGATGTAGTTTTGGCAGCCTCTGGCCATGGTGGGTTAGACGAAGGAGGGGTCCCCACTTTCATAGTTGGATTTAATGTCTTTTTGTACAAAAAAAAATCTTTGATGCTGAAGCTTCAGTTTAATTGCTGGTTTAGAGAGGCTTTTACATGCAGCACATGACTGAGTTTAGTGGGATTCTCCCAAGCAAAATAGACATTTGTCATGTCCATTGGTTAACAGGATCTTGTGGAGGCAAACGGAACACTTCTTAAATTCCCGAGGGGCCATAAAACATAGGAGAAAAAGGTAGGAAAAAGTCCCAGGGACGGGGGGAAGGCGGGAAAGTGAAAAAATGATGTTATAACAAGTTAAAAATAAGGTTCTAATCGATAAGGGAAATAATTAATAATAATTCCAACTGGAAATAACTAGAAGAAAAATACAAATAGGTTATATATACTTTCCTACAGAAGCTCTACTGTTCCTAACGTCCTAACCAAACG